CTGGCTCTGTTCTCGCCTGTCAGTCCAGCACCTCCTGTGTGCAGCTTCTCCAACAGCTGGCTCTGATGGGGATAGCTGTTTGCCCAGGTCAGATGTTAGTAAGTGTTGAGTTAGCCGTGAGTAGTCGCAAGGTGCCTGGCTATGAGGCCTCAGTTTCCCCAATTCTGAAAGAATATAACTGAGCTATGTGCCATTGTGCCTAGTAGTGCCTTGACGTCTTTGCTACTCCTGGTACCCACAAAAATGCCTCCATCATCACCTTTGATCCTCACAAAAACCCTATGAGGACAATAGGGGAGGCATTTGCCACCAAGAATCTGACCTCACACACTTCTTTCATGCATTGGACCTTGAGGGGGGTCCACAAGCGCCCCCCACCCCCAAGGGAATTTTCTGATCTCCTTGGTTTTCTGGACCCCATACAGGTGGGCACATCCAAAGCTGCCCACCCCACCTGCTGCTTCTGCAAACATCTATGCGGGTTCTCTTTTCTATTTATTTCACAGCACTTGCCACGATGTGTCATTATATATTTATTGGTGTATTTGTTTACCACTGCCTTCTTCTACTTTAAGGTCCCTTGGGGAGAGACCTCACTGTCTTGTTTACTCCCTCAACTCTCAGCTCCATCTCTCCAACTTACGGAGCTGGTCAGTCCCTGGCCGGCTTCTCCCTTCCTGCACCGCTGTTTTGGAAACTCTCTCAAGGCAGTGAGCTGGGCCTGTGGTAGGACTCACTGCATTTGTTTCATCATCCCTTGGGAATCACTGTCTTTAGTTTCCTGTTTTTAAAACCTCTGTTTTGAATCTTTGGTGTGGTTTTCAGTATGTCAGACAGGAGGGCAGATCTGGCCCCCGTTGCTCCATCTTGGCTAGAAGCAGACGTCCAAAGCTTTTAACATTGCATCTCATGACGAAAAGACAGCTGCTTCTCTGATGAAGCAAAACGCAGCTTGGGCAGCTCTCAAGCTCTCTCTGGTTGCCAGCTTCATCATCTTTACAGGCATCGGGAGTGTTTAATGAATACAGCAGACAAAGCCTCACTGAGTCTCGGGGAGGAGAGGGTGTTGCAACCCCTAAGATGTCAGGAGCGCTCCTGCCTTTCTGTTGCTGCAGAATCTTGGCTAGGGGGTAGGTGGGGTGACAGAGGAGGCAGAGAGCTCAGGCAGCCTCAGTCCTGGAACTTGGCACTCTCTGATTGTCTCAGCCTCCCTGTCTGACCACCTGTCTCTCACAAGGCATCACCCGTGCCCCTGAAATGACCTTCACCTTGTGCATTAGCAATTCATTCGTGTCTCTTCTCCTGGAGACTCCTGAGCAAAATGATCAGGTCTTAGCTTTGTAATTAATGATCCACGGGGCAGCTGGCGTCAGCCCTGTTAAGGGCACAGATTACATCTGATTTATCTTTGTATTCCCAGCTCCTAGCACAGTGCCAGTCACCGAGGGTGCTCAGTTTGGTGGACGAACAAATGACTGAATGAGCACCTTCATTATTGCTATCTTCTCGAATAAGAACCATCAATCTGTGCACATGTAAGCTGTCTTAGCACCTCCAGAAAGAAGTGCTGGGCCACACGCCATGGGAGGGAACTTCTGGCAGGGATAGACCCAGCCTGTAACCCAAAGATCAGGGTCCCAACCCTGGCCCCTGGGAAGGTTGCTTCTTGATCCCGAACCTCCATATTCCTTTCTGAAATAACACCTAGGCTCCATCCAGCTACATTCTCTAATTGACTCAAGCAAGGATAAATAAGGATGCATTCTTTGAACACAACAGCTGGTTTTCTGAGCAAAATCCAAGAGTATGCCATGACTAGGTTTCACAAAATGCCTCCCGCATTTCAGAGCTGTTAGCATTTTTGCTTTCGCTAGTTTTCTCATACATGCGGTGATGAGTGCGCTTGCAGACTATCAGAGGGGGCCCTGTGCATGATGCTGAGAGCCACGGGCTCTCTGCTTTCAGTATCAATTACATTTGAAAAGAAATAGCAAAAGAAAATTCCCACCTAACTAACAGAATATAAAGAGAGGCACTGTGACATTTAGTGCCAAATTCCATGTGAGCCCTACAATCCATCAAGTTGATGGAATTTCTCAACAGAGGCCCTGTTGGCTTTTTTCATGGAAGAATTCTACCTTGTGTGGGAATATCCAGTTCACTGTCAATAACATCCATAGCTGCTGGGATCACACATTGTGACAACCAAAGACAGCACCCGCCCTGGTATTTCCAAGTGCTTACTGGAGGGGGTGCAGCGGCCTCTAGCTGAGACCATACACTAGCATATTTTCCCAGCCACAGGAGTGTCGGGTGACTGTCTGTGGTTCTGGAACAGTGGCAGGCATGGCCCTGGGGTCTCGCCCAGAGGTGTCACAGCCTGAAGTAGAGCAATGGAAACCAAACTTGCTTCCCTTTGTGGTGAAAATGAGGAGGTAGACCTCTGGGGCTTGGGGGTTCAGTGTAGACAGAACGGCCTTGGATGATCTGGCTGTATTTCTGACTCTCCAGCAGTGACTTCTGACTTAGTGTAAGGAAGGTGTGGCCATCACCCCAGGAAGACACAGCCAAGTCAGGGACAGCCCAAAATGAGGAATTAGAGGGAAGGATTTTTTGTTTGATATTTCACCAAGAAGGCATTGAACAAGTTCATCATGGGGAAAATGAGAATCCCCTTGGCTCTCTTTTTTCTTATTTTAGAGTTTATTCATATTTTCAGTGCTATATTCTGTATCTTTTCAGTGTTGAGGTTTCTAAAGTCCTGGGCCTGCCCTAGCTGAGGGGCCCAGTGGCATCCTTCTACCAGCCATCTCTCAGGAAGCATTTATTTTATTTTATTTATTGATTTTTTTTTTTTTTTAGGAGTCTCACTCTGTCACCTGTGTTGGAGTGCAGTGACACAATCTCAGCTCACTACAATCTTCACCTCCTGGGTTCCTGCCTCAGCCTCCCGAGTAGCTGGGATTACAAGTGCCCGCCACCATGCCCAGCTAATTTTTGTATTTTTAGTAGAGATGGGGTTTCACCATGTTGACCAGGTTGGTCTCAAACTCCTGGCCTTAGGTGATCCACCCACCTCAGCCTCCCAAAGTGCTGGGATTACAGGCAGGAACCATCAGGAAGCATTTCTGATTCTGCCTGGTCTCTGTGACATCTGAGGTTCACTCCTGGGGACCTGGCACTTGTTAGTGGGGTCTTGACACTGGTTCCCTGGGAAGCACATAATGGCTCCCTGGATTTCCTAATCTAGCTGCAACAGATCAGTAACCACTCCCTTCTTCCCATCTTCTTTCTTTCTACCTTTCTTCATTCTACACAGAACGTACAAAGGTCAAGCATTCAGGAAAAACAGCTTGACACGTCCTTCTAAAGTTTATCAGACACACGCCATAAAACCCAGCAATTCCACTCCTAGATATTTATCCAAGAGAAATAGGAAAATGTGTCTGTACAAAGACTTGTACACAAATGTTTATAGCAGTTCTATTCACTATAGTCGAAACTGGAACCAACCTAGGCGTTGGTTATCAGGTGAGTGGATAAACCAATTCATATAAAGGAATACTATTCAGCAATAAAGGAAGGGACTGCTGAAGTATGCAGTAACATGAGTGAGTCTCAAAAACACTATCCTAAATAAAGGAACCAAAGGAAAAATACATACTGCATGATTCCATGTATGTGAATGTCAAAAACGAACAAATTTAATCAATGATTTTAGAAATCAGAATAGTGGTTGCCCCCAGGGTGGGATTGATTCGAAAGAGGCACAGGGACATTGTCTGTGCTGATGGAAATATTCTGTGTCATGCTGGAGGTGCGGCTTCCACTGGTGTATGCATTTGTCAAAGCTCAGAGGATGGCACTTTTAAGATGGGGGGTGTATTTCACTAGATGTAGATTACACTCTGATAAGAATCATAATAATGAAGCCATCCACATTACCTTTTGGGAAGTCATCCCCTGGTTCCCCACCTACCATTGTACCCCTCAAGGTATCTATTGTAGAGTGGACACCAAGTCTGGGTGTATTTCCAAATCTTTTGCCTATATTCACATCTTGGAGACCTGTCCAAAGTTAATACCGTCTCTCTGTCTGTCCATCTATCCATCCCTTCCTTCCTCCCTCATCATCCTCCTTTCTCTTTTTTTTTCTTTTCCCTCTCCCTTCCTTCCTTTCTTACTTCAATTCATCTTGCAATTCTGGGCACTCCTTTCCAGCCGTGTCTGAGTCTTCCCAGAAGCCCTGGGATGAGGCTGTGTGATGTCTTTGCCTTTCTCAGAGGAAAGCGAACCTGCCTCATTGACACAAGTCCTTCAGGTCCACCCCAGCACAGCCTGTGCCAAGGGAGGGAGGACAGGCTCACCCCCAAGGACTCCATGGATTGAGTAAGAGAGCGCCCTGTAGCACTAGTGTCTGGTGCCTTGTCAATGACACTTTTCCAAATTTTGGGCACCCCTGTACAAACTGAGACAGCTGCAAATACCCACCCCATGGGCTGAATCCAAGAAGGGAGAAAGTCTGCCTCTTGCAAGAAATTAGCTTAAGAAATGGGCATCGGCAGTCCTCCCTTTCTTTCCTTCCTTCCTCGGCACCCCCTGTGAGCCCTGCTCCCCTCCTCTGCCTGCAGAGGAACCAGATTTAGTGCCTCAGCTGAGAGAATGAGATGCTCTGTTATTTTTCATGGGAAATTAGACCTGACCCTGCTGTCAGTTAGCTCATGCTGAGGGAGGATGGATGGCCTGGGGCATGGCCCTTACTTAGCCCCTGCTCTGAGCCCTCCAGGGCAGGGATGGAGGCACTCGGAGGCCAGCCATGATGTCACCTACTGTAGGGTGGGGACAGGGGTGGCAGGAAAGATCAGGGAGCCTTCATCCAGGTGATGGATACCAGTGACCTCCCCACACCTCTGATAGTGTCACCCATGATGGTCCCCCCTCTGTCACTGGCCACGACCAGCTCATCCAGGGGACACTCAGGCTGCTCCTATCTCTTTCAGCTCCCAACTCTACCTCTTGCCCCGCTGAGGAAAGCTGGTGGTCAGGGCTGGTGGTCATCATTGCCGTATGCTGTGCCTCCCTGGTGTTTCTGACTGTGCTTGTCATCATTTGCTACAAAGCCATAAAAAGGTGAGTACTTACCCACTGCACCCAGCTCCAAGCCAAAGGGAAACCCAGCTGGGCTTGGGGCTCCTACACACATCCCATATCATTATTTTAAATTATAAAAGCTGTTAAGCATACAAGAAGCACAAAGAACACACAGTGACCTCCCACCTACCCTTACCCCAATTCAACAGTTAATCAAGATTTTGTGATATTTGCTATATCTGTTTTCTTTTTCCTTTGCTCTTTTTCATTGCCAAAATATTTTAAAGTTGATCTCAGAAATAATGTCTCTGTCACTTCAGGGAGTTTGATTCCACAAGCATTTGATTAGCACGAATTATATGTCAGGCCTAGTGCAACATAAAAAATACAAAAATGTTGCAAAACACCAAAAAGTAATGGGAGTTGTTAACAATAGAATATTTCTAAGAAAGTTTTATAAACATTTCCTGACTCCCAAAATTAGAGGGTCCATATTAAGACCGTTCCTAACACCTAAAATATTTAAGTTTAATCTGTAAGTTGGTGGTTCTCTGTGATTTCACTTTAGTAATTCAAAAGCAGGAAGAGTAAACTATCAAGGTAAAAGTCTTAAAAGAAGTGCACAGCCAAGCACACAGGAGGGGGGACATGGAAAGCCAATAGCCGAGGGGAATCTTGGTAATGGGGCACAGAAGGGAGGACAGTTGGGGGCAGGGCCCGGGCACGGCGACTCCACACAAGACAGGCCATGCCCCGGGCATCTGCCACCCAGCTGAGGACTCAAGCTCAGAGCCCTCTCTGCCCAAAATGCGCATGCTGCGGGGCAATCTCCAAAAACACAGACAAATAACACAGGCATAACCATAGTCAGCAACACCTCAGCTGGGCACTGGGCTCCTCTCCTCACCAACGTTCTCTTAGTTCATCTCCACCTACATTTTCTCAATCAGCTCCCTTTTGTGGAGGAGGCTGAGGTTCTAAGAAGTTAGAGAACTTCCCAGGATAGCACAATACCCAAGCAGTGGAAATGGAACCCAGAACAGAGACTCCGAAGCCCAGCCCTGACTGCAACACCATGTGTCAGAGTTATTGACGAGTTTGACTCCAGTGTTGGGCTAAGCACAGACCTCGGTATTCCTGCCTGCCCTTCCTCAGGGATGCGGGAGGGGGACACTCAGCGTTTGGTGAGGTCTGTCTGTGCTTCTCAGAGGGAAGAAGGCCCAAGTCTCCAAAACTCTGTAACTCTGGGTAGGGTCCCTAGCCTTGAAAACCAAGATGGGGCCAGGCACAGTGGCTCAGGCCTATAATTTCAGCACTTTGGGAGGCCAAGTGGGGTGGATCATCTGAGGTCAGGAGTTTGAGACCAGCGTGGCCAACATGGGGAAACCCCATCTCTACTGAAAATACAAAAATTAGCAGGGCATGGTGGCTCACACCTATAATCCCGGCTACTCAGGAGGCTGTGGCAGGAGAATCACTTGAACCCGGGAGGCAGAGGTTGCAGTGAGCCGAGATCACACCACTGCACTCCACACTGGAGTGAAAGATTGAGACTCCATCTCAAAAAAAAAGAAAAAAAAAAAAGAAAAAGAAAACCAATGTGGATGGTTGGATGGGTGGATGGGTGGATTGTTGGATTGGTAAATGGTTGATGGGTGGATGGTTGATGGGTAGATGGTTGGATGGTTGGATGGGTGGATGATTGGATGGTTAATGGGTGGTTAGTTGGATGGTTGATGGGTGGATTGTTGGATGGTTGGATGGGTGGATGAGTGGATAGTTGGATGGGTGGATGCGTGGATGGGTAGATGGTTGGATGGTTGGATGTGTGGATGGTGGATGGGTGGATGGTTGGGTGGGTGATGGTTGAATGGGTGGATGGTTGGATGGGTGGGTGGGTGGATGGGTGGATGGTTGGATGGGTGGGTGGATGTTTGAATGAGTGGATGGTTGAATGGTTGGATAGTTAAATGGTTGGATGGTTGGACGGGTGGATGGGTGGATGGTTGGATGGGTGAGTGAATGGATGTCGAATGAGTGGATGGTTGGATGATTGGAGTCTCCCAGGGGACACGGCTAGTCCAATTCCCAGGTGTTCTGTAGGTGCCTCCTGTGTGCCAGGCTTGGTAGGCATGCAAACAGGTAAGACCCAGGCTACCCCTAGAGGCCACTTGATGAGGCTGTGGGAGGTTTGCTGGCAGCCCACTGTGGCTGCCCAGAGGAGTCATGGTGCATTCTGATCTGGACCATAAAGCATTTGAGCAGAGGGCCTGCTGGAATGGGAGAAGGGTTTTAAGTAGCAGAGCAGAGGAGGCATTCTAGGCAAAGACACCTGTAAAAGGAAGCAGCTGGGCCCAAGTCCCTGTGATGCAGGAGATGACCCTGGAGGAAGCTGTGAGTCTGACTGGGGAGGCTCATCACCAGGCTGAGCAGTGACTTTGCCTGTGGCTCTAGACACTAGGAACTACTGAAGAGTAGCTTTGGTAGCTAATTTTTGGGGAAAGAGTGCACCACCAGGCCATGGCTACCAGTCTCCTTGCAGACATGCCCCGCTTCCCCTGGGAGAGACTCAACATGAATAATCTGTTTAATATAAACTCATATTCTTACAAAAGACACCTCAGCCACTTCTGCCCCCCTCCCTGCCCCAAACCTTCCCTGAAGAAATGTGCTACCTAGTTCTACCGGAGGAGGGAAAAGAGAACAATCTCACATAATAGCTCACTATGGCAGTGCTGTCCGGCGGTAGCCTGCTGAGCTTTGTTTCAGCTGGGCTGGGGGGCACCCAGGAAGGATGTGAGGGGTGTCATCCTGACCTCCTCAGAGCAGTTAGAGGGGCTTCCTGTCTGTCCTCTTCCACTCTCTCTGAGCTCTTGACCCCTGGGTCTGTCAGCACCCTGGGAAAAAGCAGAATTCATCCCGGATGGCTCAGCGGACCAGACTTGAGACGAGTGGGCTTCTTCCAGGGACATGGGCAGGGCTCCTCTGGGTTGTGGGCGGGGCTTCTTCGGGGTCGGGGGGCATAGGCGGGGCTCCTTCAGGGCATGAGCGGGCTTCTTCCAGGGGCCAGGCCAAGATTATTCTGGCGTTTTGGGCAGGCTCAGAGAGTAAATGGGGCAAGTGAGGCACTCAGGGACTTGCAGAGTGGGAGCGGTTAGCACCTCCAGGAAGAAAAGCAAGTGGGGAACTAGTGCCATGGGAACCTCGCGAGAGAGTCGCACTTAGGAGAAGGCGGCCTGGCAGGAGCTGTGGTTGAAACTGTCAGGGAAGCAGCCCGAAAACTGGGAGGAACGGTAAGAAATGCTCCCAGCTGCTCTCCACGCTTAGGTTTCCCGTGCGTGCCTCCCACTGGCCGAACCCAAGGAGCAGGGGAATCAGGACACACAGCCAGCAAGGTCGGCCTCCCTGCAGGAAGCCAGTGGAGCAGGCACACGGGTGTTAGCGAACCCTCTGCTGCGCAGCCCCTTTGCTACCCCGCGCCAGGCTCTGCATCCATCTCCGGACCAAGACCTGGGGACACCAAGGAATAGGACCCCGCCCTTTGACCCCGAGGTCTTCTTAATCCAGAGAGAGCATCCCTGGTGCAGCAGACATATTCAATGACAAGAGAGGACTGTGATCACTGCAGGTGAAGGCAGAAATAGAGCCCGTGCTGCCAGAACCCACCTAGAACAAGGCTGCGGAGGGAGGCCTGACCCCTTGGAGACAGAAGGAGGCAGCAGGAGCTGCAACCCCACCTGCAGAGCAAGGTGCGCCCCACTGCCTCCAGACGCTGACCGCAGCTGGGGCTGTAAGAGATAGCATCCTCACACACACCAGCTGCCTGTCCACGTTTCTCTCCAGCGAAATGGAGGATTTCTTGCTCACGGCAGATTGTTTTTGGTCAATAATTCATCTGAAACCTACCTTTTCTCTCAGGAAACAAAAGTGTCTCATGTCACTGCAAAACCATTAAAGGAAAATTTAGTGATAAATGCTACTCTTTTTTTAAAAAAAAAACTCTCATGGCCTCAAGTCCTAGGGATTTCCAAGAGATCTTTGTAAATGGCCCCAACACAGCCTTTCAGAGACGGACTGCCGGGAAGATGTTTCTAGAATTGGGTAGATCAGAGAGGAGGTGACTGGAGATATCTTGGCACCTGGCGTGTCAGCCGCCGGGACACGGGCCTCAGCGGACACCGAGGGCTGAGCTGCGGTTGTGGAAGGAGCACCCCACAGGGTCCTCACATCTGTGTCCAAGGCCTGACTGAAAGTGGGCTGGACCTTGGCAGGAGGAAGGGTCTCACTAGTACTTGCTGGATGAAGATGAGGTGAATCAGCACTTCCTCCTGTGATTCAGCAAACCATCCCCAAGTCCCATCTGTACACTGGGTAGACCGTGCTCAGGGAGCTTCAACGCTGGGGGAGTTCAGAGGAGGGACAACTTGCCCAGACCTGGTAGCCAGTGGGGGTGGGGAGGTTTCTTAAATAGGTGCCAGGCTAAGGGACTGGGCGGGGTGGGTGTTACTTGAATTTGCATGAGCATGAGCAGTGGCTGCCAAGTCCCCTGTTGATGACCCCAAACTCAGAGAGGGTTCCCAGCCCATGCAGCATTCATTTTGGTGGCCTCACCGCCCCAGCCTTGTTATGAACAAGACTCTTTATCTACACCTGCATGGAGAGCGGGCCCCAGAGTCCTTGGGTGCTCTGTACTCCCATGCCTGGCACCCAAGCGTCCTCCCACCTCTAGCCCTGACGGGCACATTTCTGACAGCAGGACAGCCTGATTTGTTAAAAGAGCCCAGAACTGGGAGTCAAGCCCCCAGCCTGTTTCTGTTCCCAGCCCCAGCCCAGCCCAGCCCGGCTCAGCGGGCATCGCTTCCCTCTGTGGCCTCAGTATTCCCCCTCTGAAATGACAATCTCCAGGCACCCTTTTGTGTCCCCATACTGGATTGCAGGGGGACTGCTGCCACTCAGGCATTCAGCCACTCAGATGTATAAATGCAGAGACAACACGAATGTCCATCCAGGGCAGAGATAAACTTGAAACAAGCAATGAC